TATATTGAGTAACAGAAGGAGCATGGTTTTCTTTATATTTATAGAATAAATAGTATGGTTTTGTGCCAAAAACATATTTATTTATTTACAATAGTTTTTATCATAATATTTTGCACAAAATAAAGAGAAATTCATAAAAACATTCTAGAAATCTAATAAAATATATAAACAGCTTTATTATATCTTGCATAGACCAGTTAGAATAGGCTCCTCCCACATATATTCAAACGTGGCCGCTCTGCTGAATTTTTACCGTACCACATTCTAAATGGAACTTAAAGAACGATATGTGCAGAAAACTGGAAGCATTTGAGATGTGGCTATGTCGGAGAATGCTTAAGATCCCGTGGACTGACCGAGTCACAAATGAGGAGGTCCTCAGAAGAATGAATAAGAACCGAGAGGTACTGACCACCATTAAATCTCGAAAGTTACAGTTCTTCGGACATATGCGAAATCAATCCAGATAATATCTGAAGGAGAGCATATTATGCTCTCCTTCAAGCCATTCTGCAAGGAAAAATATTTGGAAAACGAGGTCCAAGAAGAAGAACATCTTGGTTAAAGAACCTCAGAATCTGGTTCAATACAACATTTGCGCAGCTTTTTCGCGCTGCTGCAGATAAGATAAAGATTGCCATGATGATCGCCAACATTCGTAACGGATAGGCACATCAAGAAGAATAAGACATTCTAAATTCTTACATAAACTAGTAGAAGCTATAGCAGTCTGCAGTTCTATAGCAGTCTGCAGTTCAACAAAAGCCGCATATACGACCGGAGGAGTTTCGAATACGGCATATTTATACATGTAGAACAATTAAAAGGATTAGTAACAAAAAGTAATAATTGTTTTAAGGTTTAATATAGATCAAATACACGACATAGTCTCTTATATAAAATATAAACTGTACGGAACGAAGTCTTAAATTTGATCCAAGACCTTAACTAATAAAAGAAGTGTTAGATAAAATTCGGCATTATTCTTCAACATAGTCTCCTTACACTGACTGACTGCTATAACATTTTGAGGCAATTTTTCTGAACGATTTAGCTATGGTCTCAAAATACAACTTATCTGCAATAACCTTATTTTATTAAATATATATTTCCTGTAGATATAGCTTTTGTCATAATTGCGATTAATTTGTGCTGTCTTTGTAGCCACTTTATGAAATTTCTTTTTTTTAATTCATCCCTATTTGCTATTGATGATTTATTCTTTCCCAAGGTAACAGTTAAAGGAAACACGTGCATCTTAAAATCGGAAGTCCAAACCTTAACACCTAATGTTTGTGTTTTCGTATTAGTCGAATTTCACCTACTGCTGTACACTCAGTTAACTGTGGATTTGACTTGTAAGTACTAAATCCATGTTACAACGGTTTTTACATATATATGCAAAAATTCTGTTAATTGCGATGAAACAGGTACAAATGACGCTCTTTTTATCGATTAGGAGTAAACACGTCAATCTCTTCAAATGCAGCAAAATAGTGAATACACGGCCTTCTAATATCTTAAACTCATTTACTGTCATATCTTCACTTTTAACAGATTTTGGATGTTTTAATTCTTAGTTGAATTTCATTTTATTCTCTTTTTGCTTTTTCTATAGTAAATTTTAAGTTATACACATAAGCAGTTATTTTTCAGATTAAAAATGAAGTATAAACATAAAATTTAGAATACTTCAATTATTTTTTTATTGTTCTTATGCCACCATTCCCATACGAAGTTTGAATGTGTAACTGGCCTGATCTCTATACAAAAGTCATCAGTTACATACTTCTTGTACGAATTAAATCAAGATATTTAGGTTAATGCAAGAAATAGGAAATCACAGTGTGTCAATCAGTCACCTTCCTTTGTAATATTGCTATCATTGTTTGATGCGTTCTGTTGCACAGGGACAAGCAGCTTAATTTTATGGTTTAAAAAATAATTCGTAAGTAATATCATACTTTGCAAATATACAACGGATAGACTATAATGATAGTAAGAGAGTCTGAGGCTTTGAAAATTTCTCTTGACTTCCAAGTTCCAAGCTATCCGAATAGATGTGGGAAAAATCTCAAAGCGTTCACGTTTTGTAATATGATCGAAGTATGTATTATTATTTCCTCTCTGTGTGTCTAAACATTGGTTTAGTTTTTCCATTCTTATCTGAATATCTACGTTGTATGTACACTTTTCAAGGACACGACGAGTACACAATATATTTAATTATAATAAAAATATTCTCAATAAAAAACAAAAATATTAAGATTTTGAAATCCCTACACCACTAGTGATAAAAATCATAGTATAAAATATTTACAGTTTACACAAAAAAGCTGATATTTAAAATTAAGTAGTCTAAAAGATTCACTTGTATTTGTTTTACTTTATACTTATGTTAAACCGTCCATGTTGTGTTCAGGCGTTTTATTTAATAATTATGATTTTATCTCTGAACATTTTTTTTTTATAGTTTTGTGTTAGTTTATATTTTTTAAGTTACTTGTTTATTTGAAGCTTAGATAAATAAATAATAGAAAAATATGTTATGGTTTTATTTCAACAAATAAGTCAACAATAGTTTAAGTACTAGAATCTAGTAAATCACAGTCGCTGGGAAACATTTCTGAAGAAATGCTTTTTTTCTTTACATCAAATGTCCGTCAAGTCCTCTCGTGACTTTTCTGAAACAAAAAGTAAGATTAATTTACGCTTTTCATGTAAGCGCTAGGTTCTGAGCACACCCTCTTTTTCGATTTTTAGATTCCTAACATTTGGTTTTCCATTGCTCCTTGAAGAAACACCTCTTTGTCAAAGGCGACGCGAACTGTAGAACCTGTTTTTCAATCACTAATTATATCTGGAAAACAAAGAGGGAAACATTACTACTGATAGAACCAAAATCCTTGAGGTTTTGGAAAGGCAAGATCAGCCCCTGATCAATCTCACAAACCAAGGATCAGAATTATTGCCCGAAATAACTCCATACGAAATCGAAACGGCACTTTTAGAAATGAAAAATAACAAATCCACTGGCGATGACGGAATAGTGATCGAAGCGATTAAACTAGGTGGAAATAAAATTATTTAGGCTTTGGCCAAGCTTTTCACCGAATGCATCTACCAGGAAAAACTGCAAGGATGATGCAATAATAATGTTTGAAAAGTTATATCACGCTTCCTTGGAGGTCGGACTAAAGATTAATATGAACAAGACGCAAATAATGACTAATCTGGTGCTAAATCGAAATATTGCTGTTGATGGAAGGGATATTGTGCAGACTACATCGTATAAGTACTAGGACATGAAATTCGGTTGGCCAGAGATAACCAGACATGTGAGCTCCCACGTCGCATAGGATTAGCTTGGTAGCGTTTGGTAAATTAAACTATGTATTTAAATCGGATCTACCCATATACCTCAAAAGGAACATCTTTGACCAATGTGTGTTACTGGTACTCACTTATTGAGCAGCAGTGTTGCCAACCGGAGGGAAATTTCCCTTTTTGCGGGAATTTTTGACACAAAAAAAAAGGAAAAGGGAAAAAAATAACTCAAAAGGGAATATTTACTCCAGTGCAAATTGTAAAATACTCTTTAAAAAAATTCAAAAAAATATTTGAAAGAATTAAACATATCATCACCCCTGGTAGTAATTGAAATGTTCCTAATGTTCTCCTATTTGGGTATTCTTAATGATAACAAAACATTATTTGGTAATCATAACTCTCAAGCACTTAGTGTCAAAAATTAAAATAGATGATAGTTGGGTAATCTATTTTACAGCCAGATCACTATACTTATATAAATATTATGATCTAAATAGGTACCTATTCCCCAAATCAAAATATAATAAAACTTAATGAAGGCTGATGTAAGCACTTGTCCCAATAAATTCGTCTTTATTTATTAGGTACTTAAATAAAATTATGGTTGTTTGAATACATATTGTAATGGAAGTGGGAAACCCACCGACATTGTCTTATTTGACACTTTCTGTATAAAGTGTTACTTCTTAATAATTATTGGAGTTTAGAGCAGATAACAGTAAAAATGAGTGACAATAATAACAGTAGTGATAGTGAGGCTGATGTAGTCATCAAATAAAAAAAATTAAAATAGATAGAATAGTGGTTACGAAATCCTTCTTTTAAAATCTGTCACATAATAATAAAACTTTGTCACATAATAATAAAACATGTATGTGGAAAGTGCAGAAATTTTATGTGGCAAAAGTGAACTTCTTTAAAACACCAAAATGTCGTAAAAGGCGTGAAAATAATATAAGTGTCTTTTTTGCTGAACATAACGTGGCTAAATATACACAATCTTATATTTCTGTTATAAAACCCATTTTGTAAACGAGAGGGAATTTTTTCATAAAAGTGGGAATTTTTAAGGTAAGTTGAGGGAAAAAGCTTGCAAGAAGGTTGGCAACACTGTTGAGCAGAAACATTAACGCTCACAAAATAGGTAGTGAATAAGATTCGCGTGAATCAGAGGGCTCTGGAGCGCCAGATGTTCGGCCATCTCTCTGAGAGACCAAATGTCAACCGAAGAAATACGTCGTAGAATAAAAACAACAGACGCTTTTGAAAAAATCGCGTCGTTAAAATGGAATTGGGCAGGACACGTCGCCAGATTATCAGACAACCGATGGACAAAACGTATTTTAAAGTGGAGGCCAAGGCAAGAAGCAATACTAGCCCAGGCTGTGGGGGAAAAAGTACTCTTTAATCCAGGAGTTTATGTAATGTGGCCTAGGTTATAAAAGGCAACCTCAGGAGCAATCCCCCAGTTCATTCAATAAAAATTTTTAGTTAATGTTTATTTATGAGCGTTTATAGGTGCAAAATACGTATTTTTTAGTTTTTTTAGATAGTATAGATTATGAAAGTACTCTAAAATACCTTCAATTTGAGCCGCTATACGTTCAATTTAATTTATTTGTTATTGCAAAAATGACGAATGAAGGTCAAAATTAAAAAACGTAATATTTATTGCAAAATTTCCTTTTTTTATTTCAAATATATTACATTCAAGCCTATAAAATTACGAATCAAATGAGCCATAGTAGTCCTATATCGCTTAATTTGTTACTGAGATACGTTAATTAGTTTATACCACGACAGTCAACTTTAAATGCCCATACGATTGTCCTGTCAAAATACATTATTCAACATAGCACTAGAAGGAACAATCAAGGCCAGCAAAATTAAAGGAACTATAGCTCACTCCACAACACAAATAGTTGCATATGCAGATGATATAGTTCTTATGGGAAGGCAATTACAATGGTATGGTCACGTGATGAGAATGGAGGAGGAGCGGTGGCCAAAGAAAGCCTTAATGTATGTTCCGCCAGAAAGAAGGAAAAGGGGAAGACCACCAAATTCCTGGAGAAGAGAAATTATAAAAACAATGCAATCTAGAGGCTTAGAAGAGGGAGATTGGGGAGATAGGAAAAGATGGAGGCTGAAATGCGGGAAGCGGCAATCGCCGTAGGACCCCCGTTATATGATGATGATGATGGGAAGAGACAAGGAAAGATTAAAAGAACCAGTAACAATCCTGGCAAAAGAAGCATGGAAAAGAGGTATAGAAATTAACGAAGGAAAAACAAAATATCTACTCTGCTCTAGAAGAGAAGATAACAAGACGAGAGAAATCAAAATAGAACACTACACTTTTGAAAGAGTCCAACAATTTAAATATTTGGGAGTAATAGTGAATGGCCAAAACAAGAGAAGTGAAGAAGTAACAGAACGAATACTAGCAGGCAACAAAACACACTGGAGATATCATAGGCTTATGAAGGACAAGAACTTATCCAGAAATACAAAACTGAAAATATACAGAGTTGCAATCAGACCAGTAGTTACGTACGCAGCTGAGACAATGTGCCTCACGGAAAAAGATGAAGAAAAATTGAGAATTTTCGAAAGGAAAATCCTCAGACGGATTATGGGCCCGATAAGAATGGACAACGGAGAAATGAGAAGAAGAATGAACCATGAATTAAGAGACATAATGAAGGGAGAAGATATAGTTAGATTTATTAAAACACAGAGGCTGAGATGGCTGGGACACATAGAGAGAAGGAAAAACGACCTACTGATTAAGAAGATCACCAGATGGAAACCAGCAACTGAAAGACCAAGGGGAAGACCCAGAGAGAGATGGGAGAGATATCCAAATTCTGAAAGTGAGAAACTGGAGGGAACTATGCACATATCGAAATCAGTGGAAGAAAATTGTAACGAAAGACAAGTCATACAACAAACTTTGACAACATACAAGTGGAATGCGGAGTGATTCACCGCAATAAGCGAATCAGAGAGCTCTAAGTAAGAGCGGCAAACATTCCACCCGTAATGAAAAGCCCTGATGATGGTGATGACATCTTATGCAGGAAAGCTAATTGCACTGAGAAACAGTATTAAAGAAACATTTTCTTTGTTAATTTTAACCAAGGAGTCTACAAAACCTGTGTTTTTTACAGTTCACCTGTCTTCTGTCTACGGCTATGTTCGGCCACTACTCATGTAAAAACATGTACATTATCCTTGCCTCAGTCATCCGTTAATTAATCTTATTTTTTCTTTAATTTCGTTCTCATATTTCTTTCAGTATTTTTACAGTTGTGGAAAGTATCGACGTGGCACCTATAAAGTCCAACAAATAAAAATTTGCAAAAAATATTCCCATTTTTTATGATTCAAAAGACACTAATTAGCTTATTACTATCTAAAACAATCACGACCTGTAAATAACAACAAAATATACTGTGACTGTGATTTCGGTCTTGTATATAGTTCTTGATCGCCAAACCTAATATTCATGATGACTCGTTTATATTGACAATTCAGACATACATTATACATTTTAAAGTATACGACTTTAAAATTATATTGCCAATATTGCTCAGTTGCGTTCCTGGGACGACTTTATTGTAAGATAATTCATTCGATTACATGAAATCAACTTTAACTTGATAATATCCGTCAGAAAAAAATCATAGCATGTAATTCGTCTTTAAAAAGACAACCAAATGCTACGATGATAGTAAAATTCTCCCGTTAGTGATTGGTCTTACATTTAGTTTCCTCCTCCTCCTCCTAAGTGCCTTCTCTGTTAGGTTGGCGATCAATATAGCAAATTTCTCTCTGTTCTGGACTTGATGAATTAATACATTTCCTCTTGTGTGGGTCCAATCTGTGATATTTCCTAGCCAAGATTTTTTCTTTCGTCTTATGCCCCTTTTACTTTTAATCTTGCATTTTAATATTACCTGTAGCTGCTCAACTTCCCTATAACGCATTATGTGTCCTGATATGACGTCTTTCTAAATTTGATAGTAAATCTACTAGTGACATTTAATTTACACCCAATAAATTATTATTGTGTTTAGATTGATGAGTGGAGCAATAAAAAAGGATAAAATTGAGAATGAGTATATCAAGGCAAGTCTTGTGGTGACACCAATTAATGCCAAATTGAGAGAGCATTGATGGTGCCTCTACAATTCTCTTATACCTACGTATTTCGTCATTTCAGGACTCATCAGAGTGACTCAAAAGAGGCACTCTATGGGAAATTAAATCTTAACTGTCTTTTCTATATCTTTATTCACTCGGATTTCGAGTATTAAAAGTCATTTTAGATACCCCTTGTCAGTCGATTCATTCCATTTAGCTTAAGGCACAGATTTAAGTAAAAACTTGAGTTTCGAACAAGTAGAAATCTTGGAATGTTTGCTTTACGCTTTATTGTTTCATAGTTTTATATTACCCAAAACTCTTTAACGTTATCTATTTATGTGGGACACTTCTCAGTAATCAGTGGTTATGTAAATTTTACGCATAAATCAGATTATCGCACCACATCTTTCTTATTCGTACCAAACATATTATGCGTAATAATCCTTGCGGTTTGACTCGGTAATTAATCTCTTTTTAATATGTCTGTCGTTTTTTAAATTATACTAGACCTGATTGCAGTTTGGTATGTATTTTCCACTATATTTTGTAATTTAAATATTTTTACATCATTCACATGTTTACCTTTTTTAATGGATCTAAATATCATCCTTGATTTCGCCATAGCCTATTTCTATTTGGTAATTATTTACGTTAACTTAGGTTACTGTTCAGTGAGAAATAGTGATAAATCAAAAAGACTACATTATGATAGCAAGGAGGTATCGTAATGCTGTTAAATGTACCCAAGAGCTGATATAGGTTCAGATCATAACCCGGTAGTTACTGTGATAGAGGCGAAACCAAAAAAGATTAGAAGACCACACAGAAAGGCACTAGATTTAAATAAACTTAGAAACAATTTTTCCACTTCAATAATTCTATTAGGATAGGAGGATTTGCTGATCAAGGATCAAAACTGTAGATGGCGATTGCTAATGATATAGATGCAGTCGTGCATTCTACAAGAGACGCGAGCGAGGTGTTTTCACAGCTCGAGGAGGAAACAAGTAGTCTGGGTCTCTGAATAAATAAAGAAAAGACGAAATACCTGGTAGTAACCAAAAAATCCAAGACCAAGAGTTAGTCAGAACATCAGTATTAATGATCACAACTTCGGAGTAGTAAAGGAGTTTAAATACCTGGGGGCGATAATCCCAGCTGACAACCACATAGAAAAAGAGGTCTCAGCAAGGATAGCTGCGGGAAATAGAGCATTATACTCACTTTCAACATTATTAAGATCGAAGCTGCTAAAAAGAAAATCTAAATTAACACTGTACAAGTCAATTATTCGCCCAATTATTACATATGGCAGTGAAACATGGACTCTCAAGCAGCGGGAAATCAATAAGCTTCTAGTAGGTATTTGAAAGAAAGGTTCTCAGAATAAAATTTGTTCCTCAAAGAGATGAATTCACAGGGGATTGGAGAAGACGCCGCAATGCTGAATTGGTAACTCTGTATGGAACTGAAAACATAGTTAGACATATCAAGGCAAACCGAATAAGATGGACAGGTCACGTGGTACGATCAGAGGATGACAGAGTGTTAAAGACAGTGGTTTTTGAAAGACCAGATGGTAGAAGATCAGTAGGCCGACCGAGAAAAAGATGGAAGGATGATGTTGAAGCCGATTTATCTAGAATTGGGGCACAACAATGGGAAATAGAAGAGCAAGATCGTAGAGGATGGAGGGCGATAGTGGATGCGGCGAAGACTCACCTCGAGTTGTAAAGCCTGTGAAGAAGAAGAAGAATAATTCTAATAAATAAAGCTAAGTTAGTCAACTTAGTCGTGTCTCTCCTAAAGCTCTTCACATTTCTCTAAGAGTATCATCCGTTCCAACTGCTTCACATTTCTTTATTTTTTTTTAAGTTAAAACAGTTAAACCAGAGGTAAGAGATATACACATCTTCTTTTTAACGTGCCCTATCAAGTCCCCTTGACGTTGGCGATTAACATGGCGAAACTGTCTCTGTCTCGAGCTATTCTAAATAGTTGCTCAGCTTTCTTTATTCCTGTCCACTCCCTGATATTCTTCAACCAAGAGGCCTGCTTTCTACCAATTCCTCTGCGTCCTTCGATTTTACCCATCATAATAAGTTGAAGAATATTATATCGGTCCCCTTACTACGTGTCCAAAATAGGCCATCTTTCTACATTTGATGTTATCAAGCAGCTCGCGAGCAGCATTTGCTCTCTCAAGGACTGCCACATTTGTCAGCATAGCCGTCCATGGAATTTTTAGTATACGTCTGTGCAACCACATTTCAAAGGCCTCCAGACGATTAATGGTGGATATTTTTAATGTCCATGCTTCGACACCGTATAAGAGGACTGACCAAATGTAGCATTTAACCATGCGCTTTCGAAGTTGAAGTTGCAAGTTATCATTACAGAAGAATGACCTCATTTTTAAAAATGTCGTGCGGGCTATCTCGATTCTACATTTTATCTCTTGATCTGGATCTAGTTGTTCAGTAATATGGCAACCAAGATATTTAAAACTGGACATTCTTTGAATTATATGACCATCAACATATAATCGTGCATCTTGATGTGCTAAACGGCTAAACACCATGTGTTTTGTTTTTGCACAGTTTATGTTTAGGCCAAACTCTCTTCCCACTGTATCAATGGCATTTAAAAGGCATTGTAATCCATTCATGTCATCACTTAAAATAACTGTATCGTCTGCATATCTGATTGTTTTATCAGAATTCCATTAACTTTCACGCCCCATTCCAAATTATGCAGCGCTTCTTTAAATATTCTATCTGAATATAAATTAAATAACAGTGGGGATAGTATACAACCCTGTCTGACACCTCTTTGTATTTTACATATTTCTGTTGATTTTCCGTTTATGCAAGCTGTCGCTGTTTGACGCCAGTATAACTTTTCTATGAATCGTATGTCTTGACTATCAACTCCTTTATCTTTTAATATTGTAATTAATTTGTGATGCTGTACTCATCAAAGGCCTTTTCATAGTCAATAAATACAGCAAAGACGTCTTTCCTTTGATCTCGACATTTCTGCAGTAATACATTTAGTGCAAAGAGGGCGTCCCGAGTTCCCAGTCCATTTTTGAAGCCAAATATTTATCTCTGATTCTACTGTGGATGATGCGAAGAAATCTTTTCAAAGTGTAGATATACACATACGTAGTTGAAAACTACGATTTTGTTAGAAAAAATGAAAATAGCTGGACGACGATGTCATAGCCTAATAGGCGAAAATATTTATCTGTCATAATTAAAGCCGTAATTTTTAATTCATCATCTTTTCTCTAATGACGGAAGGACCTACGGCTTTGTTGCCTCAAGATTGAGGGTCAAGCGCCGCACCTCGCTTAGTTCTTACGCTCATTAGATTATGAATGTCTGCCGCCATTTTAATCTTTTGTGGCCTTTATGTCGACATCCATTATCTGCACAACTCTAGCCCATCGAGGTCTCAGAGCATACCGAATTCTGAAGTAGGTATTTCTTTGAACAAATGTTAAAGTTCAAGATTGTATCCGGATTCTCATATCCAATTTTCGTTTAGAGGAGCAAAAATATTCCTTTTATTTCAAAACATTCTTTTTTTTTTGTTTTTTATCAACCACCTCTTGCATTCACAATAGATTATTGGCTTAATTATAGTTTTATATAATCGATTTCTGGTTAAACAGGTTTTGTTGACCTTCAATACTCTTTTTTTAATTTCCATTTGGTCTGTTCAGAATGATTGGACAGCTAGATATGTGTTTCAGCAGTAGAAATCTCGATAAATTCGATAAATTGTTTACTGCTTCAACATAGTCCTTTACTCTGATTATTTTCTATTTCTCCTTTTCTGTGGTAATATTTTTTCTTTTATATATTTATTTCAAAACAAATGTCATATTTTGCAAGCTCAATAATAAATCAGTAACAAGCTCTCTTGATTTGTTTTTCGGAGATTTGCTCTCGCGTATTATTATGTCGTATTACGACGTTTTCAAAAGCCATGGTGAATTAATAGTGTCAGCTCATCTTTTGTTTAGCCCTTTGTGAAAGTTCAGTGTAGTAATAGTAATTAGAGTATTAGTAATTAGAGTACTTATTTACATATTTATAGTACATTAAATAACGCTTAGTGTTTTATTCTGATTTTGAGTTGTCTTACTTTTCTTTAGTCCCCAAGTTTAGAATAAGATACCTAATCCTTTCTGACAATGAACAAATGTAAATTTTACTTTTTAAAATATTTTCTGCAAAATGTTGCTCGTTAGGTATATATTGCAAAATTGTAGGATATCAAAAAAAAGTTTGACCAGCTGTACTTATATTACTTACCTCTAGCCGTTAGCAATTCTTTCCATAAACATTTTTGAATGGCATATCTCCATTTATGAGCAATGTCTTCATCCTTAGTTTTAAGGTTATACTCTATATTTAAGTGGGATTGTCTGTGTTTATTTTTATTAAAATCATTCAACAAAATTCTATTCATTTTGGGAGACGTGGACATACCCAAATCACACATTTTGATGCTGCCTAAATAGTAATATGTGTCGGGCTGTTCTTCCTGTAACAATTTTTACGTTATTAAACATGTTTAAAAATAAACGAAAAGGAAAATAAATTATTAAAAACGAGGAAGGAGTTGGCAGTAGGTAGGAGCTGAAAAAACCTAAGATATAATTAAAAGCATTTGGTATTAGAACATTAAATTCAAAAGATCTAAGCAACAAATCTTTTTAAATCTTTAAAATTTACTGATTTGTTTGACAGAAAAGAAAGTCTTCATCTTATTTGTTAAAAAGCAGGTGAAAAAAATCCGTTACTTTTTGTGTGCTAGTGTGAGAAAACGATATTGTCAGAAAACTGTATAAAGTAATATTTTTGGGATGACATAATCTAGATGATACTCTTTAATATTACATTTTTTGTTTTAAATTTCTCCATTACCAAAAAACTTACTGTTTTATGAGGAAAATTAGCTTTTATATGATTGTTAATACCTTTTTTAATGATTCAGAAAATCATACGAAACTTTCCCAAGTTAGGAATTTTTATACCTTTAACTTTAACGGATGAAACGAAGGTTCGATGGTTTCAGTAGTTCTCTTCCGAATTGTAATTATTTTTTCAAATCACTCCTTCAGCTGAAAGCATATCCACTCGATCCAAATATCATACACGTGTACGCGCGTACAGCAGACAAAGATGACGAGATTGTGGAAGAATTTTACCAACAACTGGAGGCCCTGATGAGAATGACCAAGAAAAGCGAAGTGACATTAATAATGGGCGACTTCAATGCAAAGGTCGGCAGAGGTAAGGTGTCAAACGTTGTGGGCGGACACGGATTAGGAACTAGAAACGAGAGAAGGGAACGTCTCATACGCTTCTGTCAGGAACAAAAACTATTGATAACTAATACTTTTTTTAAACTGCCCCCTCGCAGACTTTACACCTGGAAGTCGCCAGCAGACTCGAAAGAAACAAATGTAAGAAACCAGATCGACTTCATTGCCATACCAGAAAGATTCAGAAACTCAATCACATCAGTGAAAACCTATCCCGGGGCTGACGCTCAATCGGATCACAACCCAGTGGTGGGTAAACTGGGAATCAAACTAAAACGTATAGAAGGGAAGCCTAACAAAACCAAGATAAACATTAGGAAATTAAAGGATCCCAACATTAAACAACAAGTACAGGAATCCTTAAGAAGAAACATTGGAAACTTGAGTGAACCCGCACAAGACGCAGTTGCTAAATGGGAAGAAATAAAAAGAGCTGTTGAAATGACAAACAAGACACTTCTGTTACAGGAGCGCGTAAAGAAGAAAGAATGGATGACGGATGAAATCCTTGATATGATGGAAGAAAGAAGACAACACAAATGCAAAAATCAAGTGAAGTATCAAGAAACAAGTCACAATATAAAAACAAAGATAAAGGAAGCGAAGGAACGCTGGCTGAAGGAGAAATGCGATGAAATCGAAGAGTGCGACAGAAGATATGACTACCACAACATGCACAAAAAGATCAAAGAATTAACAACTAAAAAGAAAACCAATAATCCCCACCCGACACTAATAGACGCAGACGGTAACCTTATATCAGACGACTTGAAGCTCATTGACACATGGAAAGATTACGTAGAACGACTTTTTAACGATAAACGCAGAGCGACAGTGACCAAGATGATGACATGACTGGACCCGAAATACTAAGGTCTGAAGTGGAAAAAGCCATTTCATCGCTAAAAAACGACAAAACACCAGGTCCCGACAACATACAGGGCGAGATCATAAAACTCCTATGCGAAACGGATGACCACTTCCTCGATTTTCTGACAGGCCTTTTTAACACCTTTTACGACAAAGGGGAGATTCCGGAGGAATGGCTTCGATCGACCTTTGTAGCCATACCTAAAACACCAAGTGCAAAACACTGTGATCAACACCGCTTAATAAGCTTGATAAATCACATTACCAAAGTTTTCACCAAAATCATACACAATAGAATATATAACAAATGCGAAGCAAATATATCGGAGTCACAGTTCGGATTCCGAAGCGCATTGGGCACAAGAGAGGCGATCTTCAGTCTGCAAGTTTTAATTCAAAGATGCAGAGACATGCACAAGGACGTCCACTTGTGCTTCATCGACTTCTCCAAGGCGTTTGACAAGGTCAAACATGATAAACTCATGGAAATGCTCAGGAAGATGCATATTGATGGCAAGGATCTGCGCATAATAACCAGTCTCTATTGGAACCAAAGTGCTGAGATAAAGATGGGCAACTTACACAGTGGAAGATAGATATTAAAAAGGGTGTACGACAGGGATGCGTCCTCTCGCCGCTCCTGTTCAATATATACTCTGAACAAATCTTCAGAGAAGCACTGGGAGAAGTTTCGGAGGGTATCAAAGTAAACGGAGAGGTAATCAATAATATTAGATATGCTGACGACACAGTTATTATCGCAAATGACTGCAACGAGCTTCAAAGACTCATGCAAAGCATACACACAGCAAGTCAAGAATATGGTTTAGAACTCAATACAACCAAAACTAAATGCATGCTCATCAGCAGAACACAACAACCTCCGATGCAATTGACATTAAACAACCGAAAAATAGAACAAGTGGAGACATACACATACCTTGGAACCACAGTCAACACAAAATGGGACCAGTCAACAGAAATAAGATCACGAATTGAAAAAGCGCGAAACGCGTTCAACAATATGAAAAAGTGGTTCACAAGCAAAATCTCAATGGAACTAAAATTAAGACTGGTCAAGTGTTATGTCTTCCCGGTCTTGTTCTATGGAGCAGAGGCATGGACCACAACGGAAGCCACCCTGAAGAAACTAGAATCCTTTGAGCTGTGGATATATCGCCGTATTCTTCGGATATCCTGGACAGACCACATCACTAACGTGGAAGTAATGCAGAGAATAGGCAAAAGCAAAGAAATAATCTTCACCGTAAAGAAACGGAAGCTTGAGTACTTCGGACATGTCATGAGGCATACTAAGTACCGGCTGCTACAGTTAATAGTCCAAGGAAGAATCGACAGTAGGAGGGGACCGGGAAGAAGACGACACTCATGGATGCATAACCTGCGACAATGGTTCGGACTAACATCGACCGAACTGTTCAGAGGTGCCGTAAACAAAGTCAAAATAGCCTTGTTAATAGCCAACGTCCGAAACGGATAGGGCAAAGGAAGAAAAAGAATTATTTTTTAGATTTTATAAAAAAAGACTTTTTCAAATGGCTATCCTGGAGACTGGGCAATGAATAAAATATCCATTTCAATTTAATTTTCTTTATATGGCTCTCAGGTATCTTGAGAACCATATCAAAAAAGTATTTTTTTTAAATGACATAGACATTAGTCATTCAGTCAATTGCAGTAGATTCTCTAATCAGACAAATACACAATCTTATCTCTAATACAAAATTAACGAATAATTGATAGAAGAAAATACGATATGGAACATACGGATCACTTACTTCTCAGTTAAGGAAGAATGTCCCATCATGACATTTTTAGTAGACAAAAAATACTGGACCACGGATAAAGTGTTATAATATTTAGTATAAACGAAGTATGCAAATTCTAATGATGTTGTATATTTGTTGTGAGTCTAGGATATTCAAAAACGATGTGATCAAGATCATTCAGTGTTTCGCAATGTTTGCAATTATCGTCTTCAATCACATTTATTTTAAATAAATGACTTGGATAGCACACATGTCTAAAGTGTAGTCGATTTATGATGGATATATTTGTAGGTGAAGCTTTAAAACTCTTAAACCAATTAGTTTGTATGGTTTGTGAATCAGTAATGATTTCATTGATCTTTCCATAATATGATTTTTTTTTTAAATCTTAATGGCATCTGATACACATAAAGAATACGACAATAAAGTGCTTGATTATACACTGGTCTTAGCTAAGTAGGTAGTCTGCATATTCATTATCTTTGAGTTCAATATGTGCCCTAACCTAAATAAATTTTATATTAAACCCAGAATCTGCTAAATGCTTTAACTGATCCTTTATTCAAAATATATAAGGATTACTAAATGTTTTGGGTAAAAAGTTTTTTGTACGTTCTGAAAAAATGAAAGGTAGTCAGAGAGAAGTAACGTTTTATTTAATCTAGGAGTTTTTAACATATTTAAACGCTTCGAGTATGGCCAATGTTTACACCGAGAAAATTGAAAACTCGTTGAAAAGTTCGCATTCGAACCCTTGAATTCGGAACGTCCTGGAGGAAAAAAGTAAGCAAAGCCAGTCCCTTCTAACTATTTAGATGAATCTGTGTATATAATCGTGGCATCACTTCATCTCAAAATAGATCTAATAATATTGTTGCTAATTTTGTTGTTTTCAATGTATGTGCTTTTGTTACTTCAGTTTTATGAAAGAAAGCAAACTAGTCAAAGTTTTTGTGTACTTTTGTGTAGGTAATTCCTTTTAAAAATATGATTGTTTTGTAAAGCAATTAACAAAGGCGGATATGACCTTTTAATCCAATATTTTGTGAGTGAGATCTGATTCGTTAAGCTGACGTTGTGTAGGATGTAAGTTAAATCTTATTAGAATTTCACGTAATAATACAAAAAAAAACAAATCAATTAAAACTATACTGTATTGAAGTAAAAAATAGCACATTTAAAATATTTGTAAGCGATAAAATTAAGAATAGCGTCCTCAGCGTAAGGATAGTGTGTTGAGACTTGGGTGTGGACTGTGTCTCTCTTCTCCTCGTCACTACTGGCATCCCCTCTCGAGGGGTGTAAACTGAACGTCGGGTTGTACTTAACTAAAGTGTAGTATACGGGGTTGCTCGAAAGTTTTAACATAAGCCGCCTCCCTTGAACGCCTGCAGTGGTTCAGCAAGTAATAAAGCTAAGCTAAAAGTTTCTTTCACTAAAGCTTAAGTCACTGATCTGTGGGTAGAACGCACACCTTTGTCACTGGTCTCTTGAAACAACCTCTGTTATTTTTAATTGTCACTGCACGAACTATTCCGTCACTACCCGCATGTAATTGAGTCACTCTACCCAAGCACCATCTTAAGGGTTCAGTTCCATCTTCCTTCACCGTCACTAGACTTCCAATTTTGAGAAGACTGTTGAAATGTTTTTTCCACTTAACTCACTGCTGGAGGGACGAAATGTATTCCTTGGACCACCTAGTCCAATAACCTTGGATCATTTTTTGAAGCCTTTGGAATCTGCTAAGGCTGTTTTCCTTGACATCTAAGAAGTTCCGTTCAGGTATTACGGTCAATGTGGATCCAATTAAAAAGTGTGCAGGAATAAGAGGAAGTAACTCGGACATAAAACAGTGGAAAATTCTTCATATGAGAGAATTGTGTTGCCAATGACGCGCTTTAAGTGAAATTTGACAGATTTTACTCCCGTTCCCAAACTCCTCGAAAGTGAGGTGATCTTGGCGGTATAAACTGCCAGTTAATACCTTCGGTAGTTAAATTGTCCCTCATAGTTGAACTATAGGTATTAAACAATTTAACAAGCTCATTTTTTGCGCCAACGACGGTACTACCATTGTCCGAAAGGATCGAAGCGCATTTTCCGCGTCGAGAAATAAAGCGTTTTAGCGTTGCTAGAAAACTTTCAGTGGTCAAGCTGCTCACGACTTCCAAATGTATGGCCTTAGTTGCTAAGCAGATAAATAGAGCTATGTAAGCCTTAATAGTTTTATAATTTCGGATGTGTCGATCCTTTAGAAAAAAAGGTCCAGCATAATCAAGTCCACAGTTGTAGAATGGCCTAGAGGGAACAAGACGTGACTAGGGTAAATTACCCATAACATAGGTTTCTAATTTAGGAGCCACCCTACAACAAATAATACAATCGCGAACGATTTTGAGAACCACTTGACGTCCATTAATGGGCCAAAATTTTTCACGAATGGAAGCTAATAGTAATTGAGGACCGCAATGATTTAAATTAAGATGCTCATTTCGTACAAGAATAGTAGTAAAGTGGTGTTTAGAATCAAGGACAATGGGATGTTATTTATCGTAACAAAAATCAGAATTATGTAGTCTTTCGCCAACGCGGAGTATGTTATCCTTATCGATAAATAGATTGAGGGTAAGTAGTTTACTTTTAGAGTTAACATTACCATGCCTTTTAAGGTGTGTCAAATCGTCATACAATGTTTCATTTTGAACTAGTCGAATAATATATTTTATATCATCTTGTAAATTAGGTCCAACCATAAGAATGTCGTTCAGGGAAACACCTGAATCTGTATTGGCAGAACCGTCAAAAACAACACGAATTTTATTGCCTTTATAGACACAATGATGAGGAAGAAAGAACTCATAGCCTGTGGTTTCAAAGGGTGAAACGGACATAGGGTGTAAGGATAAATATTCATCGATAAATCGAGTGTAATCATCTTTTAATTCAAAATTCGCATTAAGTTTCCTTTCGAGAGAATAGAACCTTTTTGTTGCTGTAGTCTTAGAGTCGCCTAGATTGTCGGCGGAAGATTTCAAGGGAAGTGATACTACAAACCTACCAAAAGAATTAAGAGAGGTTGTTTTTAAGAAGTGATCTTCACAAGAAAGTTCTTCGTTAGACAAAAATTTTGTTTTTGTGCATTCTTCAATTTCCCAAAATTTTTGAAGTTGATCTTCTATGCTCAACTTGTTTATGGTCGACAAATGGCATGTAGTTCTGGCTGCAAGGGTATTGTTTGGAAATAATGGACCTGAGATAATCCATCCAAGTTTAGATTTTTGAAGAATCGGTTGTCCAGGTGATAATTTAATCTGACCAATACAAATTAAATTCCAGAAGATGTCTGCACCGATAAGAAGATCAATAGGAGATGAAATATTGAAGTCTGGATCAGACAGAGTAATATTAGAAGGGATATTAAGTGTTCTCTTATCGAATGTGACAGAAGGTAAATTTCCTGCAATTTCAGAAAGCACTAAGCAAGAAATTACTTGAGAAAAGTTTAAAGTTTTGGACTTAAATTTGACCGATGTTCTGTAGCTTACAATAGAATTTGTTTGGTTTATACCAGAAATAGAAAAATGCGTTTTGGTTGTAGGCAACCTTAGAAGATTTAATAGGCGCTGGGAAATGAAATTACTTTCAGAGCCATTATCTAGAAGTGCACGAGCCTCGTGTTCGTTACCTGAGATGTCAAAGACGTTTATTTTTACAGTTGACAGCAAAGTAGTAGAGTTGTGCTCAAAAGAAATGTTACGTGCTGTCAGTGCATTAGACCCTTCTGATGTACCTGTACTAGAGCAAGGTAAACTGCTGATGGTTTGATTACCGGTTTCAGTAAGCTTTTGTGAGTTACTTTGAAAGTGTAAAAGTGTGTGGTGTATTTTTCCACATTTACGACACCCGAAAGATTTGCATTCCTTAGTGAAATGACCACTACGCAGACAATTGATTGAATAGTTTTTGTAATATAGTGTCTGATTCCTATACTGTATACGGAAACTTTATTGAAAATATAATATTCAAACAGATGTGATCAAAAATAAGTTTATTACCGTTAAAAGTCAAGTCTTGAATACAAAACTAAGATCGTAGTATAAATATTTATATTCATGAATAAAAATGATATTGTTAATTGAAAGATATTAAGCAGATGGTAAATATATTAGAAGAGCTGTAAAATTAAACTAACTACAAATAAATCAATCATCGATTAATATTATTGAGCATATCAGATCTTTATTTTTATTATTGATCAACGTTTTATGATGTACTTTATTGGCAATAAAACATTTTGGACTGTATTATAATACAACGTACAATCAGATTGACCCTGGTAGATATATGAATATGTGAATCAGATAAAGGAAACAATACATTAAACTGTTTTAAATGACCTTGACTGAGGACGTATTTATTATAAAGTAGACTAAAAATATAGTGGACTAAAATTAATCCATAGAATATGGAAACATTATTTGTATTAAAGGTAGTCAGACATGGTGATATCATTAAATATTGGTCATTAACAAACTATGTATATTACACGATTTACACGATCATATTTTAACATCAGTAAAGTCTGTTTTAAAGGTATAATAAAACTAAACAGAGATACATTGTATAAGTTGTCATAAAATTGGCTTTATTTGAAATATATTTTTTTTTCATTTTGATGTATTTTTTATTTAAATATGATTCTAACTCTGAATGAGGGTAATGAGCGCGATGACTGGGTGGATTGAGTAGGTGAATTGCAAACCATCCTGGATGAAATACCTCATGAAGAGCCCTTAATTCTTATGGGTGACTTTAATGCACGAATCGGAAATGAAATAGTGCCAGGAGTAAAATAAAGATTTAATGAAAACCGTGTCAACGAAAATGAAGAACTCATGGCTAATCTTTGTGCTTTTAACGAACTGAGAATTCATAATACATTTTTCGACCATAAGCTCCAGTATAAATATACATTTGAAAACTCCAGGGGCATAAGTCTATGATTGATTTTATAGTCACTAATAGAAAAATCCACTTAAAGCATATTCTAGATATCCAAACTTTAAACTCAACAGACGCAGGGAGTGAACACAAACTAGTACTAGCAAAGATAAGAATAAAAATAACACCAAAACAAAATTTTCTACACGAAATCTCCGAGGAAAAATTTAATGTAGAATCACTGTGAAACGACTCTAGAAGAGAAATGTACCAAAGGAGGCTAGCACTTAAAATACAGCTGAAACAAATAGACGACATCAAAGATATAAACGCGAGCTGGGAGAAAATTAAAAACAACATTGAAGAAGCAGCAACAAATGCTCTAGGAAAACTCAAAGTCATACTGAACAAAAGAAACAACAACAATACACCTACGGTTTAGAAAATATATAAAAGAGAAATGTAAAGAGAAACCAGAAGCCTACACGAAGTATAAACATTAAATACTCCAGAATCCCGAGACAACTATAGAAAAGAATACGAAATGAAACAAAGCAGTTCGTAAGAAGAACAAAAAATGAACACTGGAAACAGTTTACAAAAATCAAATATGGATATTCATAAGAAACCAACGGAAAGAAATGGCAGAATTGAAGGAATACATTTGCACAGAATATTTATGGTGCGACAAAGCAGAAGCCACGTTCTAGTATTGATATAAATGATTATATAATTGTTACTTACTGCTGTTATGATAATAATTCTCTCAAACATAAAAACCAAAACATTTTTCCTCTTCATTGGTTTCTTAAGTTTAAACTTGTCTTTCATGATCAGCATTCCGTATCCTGTAACATCGAATGGACATTCTTGGATATCAACCACTGGAGAAATGTTATCCGGGAATAAGTCCATTTTTTCAAAATTAGTCGGGGAGGATATTAAGTCATTTCCCGTCTTACTCGATCTAAAATATGAGGTGAACGATGAAAATTTAAGTTTGGATCTCCTCTTCGAGTTTCTCCTCAATTCAGGACCTTCCATAAATGTAGTCTTTTTCTATTATAATACAAAGCAGTCTTTTCGTTACAATGGTGATTTTTCTAAAACAAATAATGAAACTATATTTATTTATTTGAGCGTCTGATATTATCATAGCTTCAAAGCCTACAGTAACTGATGAAAAAAATACCTTACCTATTGCAAATACTACCGTCAAATGAATTAGTTAGGAGACTACAAACATGTGAGAGAAAGAAAGAGGGAGGGAGAAGAGTAAGTCACTCGAAGAAACCGAAATATCTATGATCGCAGTTTGAATTGATGCAGGGCATAGGCAGTTTTTGTCTTAAGGCAGCTGATAAAACCTGTACAAATACTCACATGTTGGTCATTGAGCTTGAAAAATAACGTAAAAACTTAAGAACTAAAATCTAAACGGGGAGATATCGGCGATAACTATTGTCTAGGACAATATTTTTTTGAAGATAGTTTAAACGGCGAGATGTACTTAGATTTTATTGCTAATCAGATATTGATATTATTAGACGAGATTCCACCTAATAAACTTGAAAAAATATTTTTTTATTGTTGATTTGTTTAGAATGAATTATATAAAACACCACCAAAACAAGATATGAAAAAAAAAAATAATAAAAATTGTAGACTACAGCACAAAAATAAAGAATATTCTAAAGATAGTGCATATCAAATATACACTTAAAGTTTATTCACACCTGTCCCACAAATGTCCTAACTGTAGCGGCCCTCAGCCTGCTTTCTCACCACGATGCCCTCACCGAAGCGCTCATCCCGCAAATTATAACCAAACCCAACCAGTACACACAGATAAGCAAATTCCTTCCTATGACCTATCCTCTGACATGAAATCCCTTATACATTTCACATCCATGCTCCTATTCAACGTCTTCCCTGAAAAGAGAAGCGCAATAACCCTATTCCTTAACCAAATTTCAAATGCAATGTATGGATGTGCCATAGCCACTTCATGCACAAATAACCTAGTCAATCAAACCTTCACCCACCTACACATCTGAAAAACACACCACACACATCAACACACATTCACACACACTCAAACAACACCCATTCACAACACTTTACCTCCACTTCGCTCACAATCCAAATTAATAAACACCTAATCCTATATCACAATCAATAAACACATAATCCTAATTAGTAAACACACAAAAACACCACAAACACATAACACATCACCACACTGTGAGCACCGTCTACACTCCTTAAGAGTCGATTAAATAATCACAAGGACAGGGGGAGATTGGTTTTCTGTGGTTTCCCAATCTCATTGCACAATGATACCTGATCCTAGGTGAGGATATAGCCACAGCTATCCTCCACGCGTTTTTCCAACAAACAAAAATGGCCAATAATCTGAAAGGAATCGTTTTTTCCACGGAACTTGTACTTCGTGACAGGCTTGGTATTCTTGGCTAACTCTTCCGGAAGGTACGATTTCCGCCTCTTGCCTTCTTCTTGTTCTCGGTACCCTTCCTGTCCTTCTCCACCCCCTTTTACCTTTTTTAGCGGCGGCGCCCTTAGTCTTCGGAGTCCAACCGAAGTCATACGAGCGAAAACTGGCATTCAAACCAAACAAGCATAAGCACCCAAATAAACAAACCCACCCTTGAAGAAGCATAGAGCTTAAAGCAAGGTAAAAACGCATTTGATTGACCTGTCCCACGGTCCTTTCTACCCATATGACGCTTCCTGTTAGATACTGGTCGTGCCGACGATGAGAACTTACTGACCCGATTTGTCGTGTGAGAAGTCGAAGTTGAAGTACTATACACCTCAGACTCACAATCTCAGACCGGCATGGAGAGAGCTACGTCTTAGTATATAGCCAATCTTATGCGAGGTATGTCAAGGACTATAAGTATGCGCTTAGAACTATAAGGGCAGGTTAACATGACAAGCGCTTAACGCGCGTTTTGATAATGCGCGTTTATAACTACATACCTTTTATCAAGGCCCTGTACACATGAGAGCGTAAACATGTTCACAGGCAAGCTGTATTGACATGGCTATACCGTACTGAAAAGGGATTTCTCTGTAGTGAAAATTGAAAATTTTGATACTGATGAAGTGCAAAAGAGAAGATGTATTTGGGATATGAAATATGAAAAGTACAAGAACAGGAATTTAAACAAATCTGCTTTACAAGAGGTGGTAGAAAATGGCACATTGTAAGAGAAGAAAAATAGTTGATGTTGTAATACAATAACTGTTTTATAACTGTACTGGCTGTCGACAGCTGGTAAACCGCATTGCTAAGCGCTGTCATCTGGGCACTACCACTTTTTTCTAACGTGCGCTCAACGCATCGTCTACCGCCCTCATGTGTACAGGGCCTTTAAGAATGAAAACATGCTATGCCGACATAAGTGTGTAGTGTATCATATGGATTTTATGATCTTTTTTCCAAAACCGTTATTAACATTTAACGATCTATGTAAAATACGTCATTTATGGTATATTCTGGAAAAGTATATTCGACATACCAGCGTGCTTAAGTCAAACGGTAATATAATATTTTTTAGCGTAACTTAATGACCTTTTCACATAAGACCGTATTAAACTCATAATCATGCCAAAAGCTTCATCAGTGACTATTACGTATGACATCTCCGTTGGTATATTTTATATTAACAATGCCTTTGGCATTAGACAGGTCGAATGACCCTTCTGTCAGCTTTTTGTACAATGAAGAATTCTTGAATATACCTGACTCAGCGTTTTTTCCATAGGCACCTAAGTTAACTCACACAAAACAACAGTTTGCATCAGTTAACGCCAATAAAACGTGCGCGAGCTTGACGTACGTTAAGCGCTTACCATGTGAACCTGCTCTAAAGGCGTCTGAAACTGTTACTGGGCATTAGTGACAGTACTTACATCATTAATACTACTAAAAATGAATAAATTTTCAGTACTGATTTGATCTTATTTGTTTGCATATCATTTTTACTAAAATTAAGTTTTAGTAGAGCCTACACCACATCAGCAGCGATACTGGAGTACGACTGTTAAATATATGACAGTCGCTATTTTTTTTTATTTTATAGCACCTATTTTCAAAGATTCTTATAGAGATTCAAAGCATGGAACAGACTCATTGCCTAGTGATCTCAAGATTGAGGGCTAGAAGTTCAAATATGTACTAGTAAAGGAAATAAAATAGATAGAAAAAATGGACTGTGTAAAAGATGAGAGATGCGACAATTGCAGAACGGTACTCAGAAAACATCGCCCACAGGCTAAGGAATCAAAATGCAAATGAAGAAGGCCAGACAGATAAAGACTCCTACTGGACCAGAATAAAGGAAGACATTAAAGCAGCAGCGAAAGATGAAATAGGAATTTGTGCCTGTAAAAATAATTGATTTGACGATGAATGCAAGAATGGAAAGGAAATATGTATTGAATAGATGGTTGTAATACTTTAACCAGGCACGTATTGTAGAGACATCAGAAGGAAACGTGGAAGACGAAAGAGATAAAGTAAGGGATACAGAAGAGAGGGAAAAGGAACCACCAACGATTCTTGAAGGTAAAGATGCAGTTATAAAACTAGCTAGAAACAAATCATCCGACATGAGCCGACATAGATAACCTCCCAGCTGAACTATATAAAGTAGGTGGTCATGATACCACAATGGTATTACAGCATACAGAAAAAAGAAATATGGAAAAAGTAATACGTATGTCACAAATCACAACCAGTGGTGCAATATATAATAAATCAGTGCAAATTCTGGCCTATGGTGATGATATCAATATTGTTGGGAGAACGGAAAACGCTGTACGAGAGACGTATGTACTCGAATATGTAAATGTAAACGAATCAGCTACAAAAATGGGTTTAACAATAATCACCAAAAAAACGAAGTATATAAAAATAAGCACGCAACCACAAATCCTAAGACTACTCGTTATAGAAAACAACGTTATCGAAGCAATGAACGAATTTGTATACCTAGGAGAGCTCCTTAACACTGATAATAATATTACTGATAATACAACAGATGCTATTTTGGGCTCAATATCTTCGTTAAATCCACAATTACATCGAGAAATACAAAAATAAAACTTTACAAAACAATAATACGCCTAGTCCTAACATATGGTTCAGAGACGTGGACTATCAAAAAATAATGAAAACATAGGATGTTTCGAAAGAAAAGTATTAAGGTGAATGGAGTACTTTTGGAGTAAAAGTACTGTGGAGCAGTAAATGATAATGGAGTGTGGAGAAGACGATACAACTTCAAACTTTATAGAATATACCAGGAACCTAATATCATAAAACATATTAAGATGGGACTTCTGAGGTGGATAGGGTATGTAATGCAGATGAAACAAAATGACCCAGCTAAAAAGAAGAGGAAGATCCAAAACAACGTTTCTTGATAACATCGATGAAGACATGAGAAATATGGGAATACGTGCTTGGCAGAGAAAGGCGATGGATAGGGACGACTGGAAAAAAATTCTTGAGGAGGCTAGACCCACGCAGGATTGTAAAGACAGAATGATGATGAAAATTAAGTTTTGTGATATAAAAGAATATTTTGCATTTTGAATTTAACAAAAAATTAAGTATTTGAATTTCTTCATCCAGCGGAGTAGTTTGAGTAATTAGTCAAGTATTACGATAGTTTTGGGGGAAAACCTATAATAATAACCGAAGTGGGAATAACGGAAACTAAAAGATGTAAGTATAATAATAGCTAAGAAGATAATAAAACAATTCATGAAGAAAATAAAAAATAACAAACGGAAAATTATTATAAATGTTCCTGATTAGCAGATATGTAATAAAAAATTAACATTTACCGAGTGACCCTGGTATATATCGATATCTATAAATCTGTGAGATACTTTAATCATTCATATCTGACATATATGTCATAATACACCTATACCATATTATATCTTAAACTTACCTTAACTTAATTTTTGGTTGTGTAACATTTTCTTTAGGTTTCACCACATACTGAAAACAACAATTTCCGGGGTAATCAAGCACCAAACTGTAACTACGTAGGCGGTAACTTAAAATGTAGACAAAACACAAAATTACGCGCAAAAGTAGGTATACGTTGATTACTTATTTGTAATAGTACCGACTGAACATTTTTGTGTCACGATATCTTGACGTTATCTTATCGTAAATTTATGCGGGATTTGAAAGCGTTGTGACTAATGAAAATGTTTTCTAGAAAACATAAGACACAGTCTCTTGCTGGTGTTTGAATATCACGTAACTGAAACGGAACTTAAAAATAGCTAAAATATTGACGCGTCCGACGAGTGTAGGCTCTTTTGTATTTAGATCCAATTAAATATATATGAGGACAGTACAATGAACGGTGATGGCTTATTTACAACGAATGAAAGGAAGTGTTACGCTAATTGTTTAGTTTGGTCAACCGACTTGTGTTGAACAACGATGTGGTTGCCGCTATATTGGCATTTCAGCACAAGAGACGTGCATTATTTACATAGCGTAGCTTTTGTAAAGTAATAAATAATTATAACAATATATAAGAGGAAATTTTTGTTAGAATTATGCTATAAAATACAGAACAGAAAACACAATAAAATACAGAACAGAACAGAAAAATAGTGAAAGCTAGCTCAACCTTTCAGGGATAACGTGACATGATGGTACACAAAATATAGTGTCTGTCCGCAAATCTAGAAAAGGTCAAAAAACAAATATTTTTGGAGTAACGGTTTAAGAACTTGTGGATTCTTTAAATATATAATTCAAATAGACAAAAAAACATTTGCACAGAAATTTATTTTAACTTGTATTTAAACACATGCTTTAAAAATAAAAGTTAACAGATATATCTTTTTTACATTTTGAGTACTATAAAACACAAAAACCCACATTATAGTTTATTTTTATGAACGAGAGAGTAATTAGCATACTTTTAAGTGGTACCTCCGACCACTCCATGGGCGTGCTCAAGATTAATTGAAAAATTACTTTGAATAATTGTAAAAAATAAATGAATTATTTCAGTGTTATAAAGTGTTATGTGAATGTAAACAAAAGTGGCCTCTTTTATCACACACTATATTAGAACTGACTGGCCTACATTAAAAAGGGTTTTAAAAAATTCACATTTTTTTTAATTTTTAAAAATTACAAAAGAGAAAAAGAGTTTTTAAAACCGTCTAAGGTATGTTAAATAGATGAATAAAAATATTAATATAAAACTTACAGCTACTTGTTACAAATCCAAATCAGATTCAGAAGATGAACTTTCAGAACCAAGATTTATAATAACTGGCTCGATCATTTTATCAGTAATATTGTCCAGCTTCCACATTTTTTCCTCTTCTTTAATAGTGTGATTTACTGCCTTTTCCCAGTTTTCAGGTTTTACATTATTTACGGCCTCCAAAAACAACTGTTTAACATCATGAATTTTAAAAGTGGTATTTTTTCTTGAAACTTCACTCTTTATCTGTGCCCATACCAGTTCAATCGGGTTTAATTCACAATGATATGGTGGGGATCTAAGTACTGTCATTCCACGATTTTTGGCAATTTCATCAATTTCGTATTTTTTAAATTTTTCTTTATGAAGGGCACACAACGAATAAAGTTCCTTTCTTATAGATCCGGGATGGTACGTAATATTTTTTGAACTCAGCCAATTCTGCAAGTCTTTTTTTAACCACTTGGTTGTGGGCAGTCCTTCTATAAGTCTGGAGTGATAACTTGCATTATCCATTACTATTACACAGTTCTTAGGAAGAAGATCTATCATTTGTTCGAACCATTCTTGAAAGACATCAGCGTTCATGTCTTCATGGTAGTCACCGGTACGAGTTGATTCAAAAGTTAATAAACCACCTTCAACAAAACCGTCTGAACTGCCAATGTGTACTATTATCAGCCTGCGTCCCTTTCCTGATGGTGGGTTTAAACCAGTAGATAAGTTATTTACAAAAGCGTGCCTTTGACTTGTAACAGTTTCATCCTGCCAAAATTTATTTGGTGTATGACCCTCGTTGATCCATGTTTCATCAAGATAAAATATTTTTCTTTTTTGGTTTCTCATTTCCTTTATGGTTCTTAGAAAATGTCTTCTCCATATGACAATATCGCTTCTTTCTAATAAAATAGACTTTCTGGGATTCTTTTTCCAGCGGAAGCCTATTTCTTTTAAAAGTTTCCATAACGTACTTCGACTCATTTCTGGGTAATCCTTATCATCTCGAACTGAGACAAGAACTTTATCCAATGTTGGAAATTCTTGTCTAAAGAAGAATTCATGCACTTTCCGTCGAAGTCCTTCTTTAAAATGATATTCTATTTGAAATTTTGGTTTCCCTGGAGCATTACGTGGCATTTGAAAACTACCACATTTCTCTTCTTTAATAACTCTGTAAATCGTAGATTTCCCAACACCAAGTGTACTGCTAACTAACTCAACGTCTCATCAACACTTTCACATAAACGTTTGTCTGTAAATGATTTAAAACAATTAAATATTAATGTTTTTTCATTAACTGTTAAAGGACCAATTTTTCGGCGTTTACACGGCACTTCCAAATTTTCCATAACACTAGTATACACAATAAACTGCACCTTGCAACTGAAGTACCTACTTTTAGTGAACTGTTAAGAATTTTGAATACGCCACTTGGACCTTCCTACAAAATGGAAAAACCCACTATCACATTTTCTGTGGAATAAGTTTAGAAGGTAATTATCTAGTCAATTACTGTCGTAGATTCCTGGAATTAAAGAATTAAATGTTTGATTGTTGAAACCCTTACTTCGTGGAATGCACTCATTTCAGATAAAATAAAACGTTTTATTTTATCTAAAGAATTAAACTTTATTTTGCAAATAGGTAGGTACTTATTAAACTTTTATTGGTTATATATAACCAATAAAATAAACATCTTACATTTCTTGCAAATTCATTAGTACCTGTTAACCTCCATCACTCCGACACTGGCAACCTTATTTAGGGATTAGTAACCCTCACAACTATTGTATTCTATTCTGCTCCAACCTTTATACCTGGTGGTCATACTCAATTTAAAATTATCCCTTCAGATACTGACAGAGAATGTAGCGTAGAAGTAATTTTAAACTGTTTGTCCTCGTTTTAGTGTAGTGTTTTATACAATTTATGTTATTTTTAATGTTTCCACATTCTACGCTTGCCGGATAGTTCACATTTTGACGAAATGCCCCTGAAGATGCTATTTTAAGCGAAAGTACTTGGGCTAGATTTAATTAACTTGTGCTCGATAATAGCCTTATTTTCAAAGTTCAATTTAAAATTGTTTTCCTATATACTTCTGTAAACTTGTTGACAAATATCTGTTTTTCATTGAGGCACCCGTATCAACAGTTTAGGGATTTGCATACATAATTTATTGTTTTATTACTCTCTCATACATAAAAATACACTATAGACAAATACAAAACAACTATTTCTAAGCAACTAAATTGAGACTAAATAAAAAACAAATAATGTTTAAGATGTACAAAGTAGATCCTACATGAATGAACAGAAATAAGTCAATCTTCGCTGCTCTCTTCGGAAATACCATCCTATAGGCCAGCGGTTCTCAAACTTTTAGCCCTGGCGCCGCATTTGAACACTGAAGATAGCTCACGCCTCCCCTCCAGTCAATAATTGGTTGTTTCAAATTAGAACAGTGAAACTGACGATGCTAATTCTACGTAAGCAAAAGCTGGGATGCAAAATAAAAATCCAAATATATTTAAATACGAAAGTCTTATATGAGTGTTTTTGCACTTTCAATGAGAGGGTTGCATTGTCTGTTCGTTGACAAGTTTTTCGATATTCGGTTGAAACTGTGTCAGAGCACACCTCAAGTCACTTTCAACGTCCAGCCTTGAACGGTATTTTGATTTTATATACGCCAATACAGAAAAACCAGATTCGCAAAGATATGTGGATGAAAACTAGACTAATAACTTCGTAGATACTAAAGCCACTTCTGGGTAAACAGGAAAGTAGGTTAACCAAATTCTTCCAAGTCCATGTTTGCAAAATCTGCTTTTGCTTGTGAATCACATTTTAGGTCAATTGCCTGCTCTTGAAGGTTAACTGGAAGAATGTCAACTTCGATATGAAAAGGATCTTTTGTCAACTTAAATTCCCAGTTTTCCGAGCTAACATCTGGAAAGTACTTTTGAATTTGATTTTTCAGTTCTTCCAAATGCCGTGATATGACGTCTTTCAAATCCGAAACTAGATGTAGTGAAAGGGTTTGATCGAGGAGGTGGTTCAGTTTAGGAAAAGAGGAAAAGTTTGGCTTGGAACTGTGAAGGCGGCGTTACCAAAGCGATATTTTTTTTATAAATCCCTTAATTGCATCATAAGTGTTTAAGAGGTTTTTACGGCCTTGAAGCTTCAGATATTTTTATCATCTGTAAGTCTTTTGTAAAGATCTTCGTGTTTTGAAGTTATTAACAAAATTTCAACTTCTGACTTTAAATTGAATAATGATGCAAGCATATTTCCTTTGGATAACCACCGGACTTCTGTGTGAAATAGGAGGGTTTCCTGATCACTATTCAGTTCTTGACATAGTGCCTGAAAGAGCCTAGTGTTTAATGCGCTGGATTTGATGTGGTTAACTATTTTAATTGCTAAGTTTAATGTGACGTTGAGAGGTTCAGGTAAAGTCTGACTAGCTAAAGCTTGTCTGTGAATAATGCAGTGAGAACCAATTATCCTAGGGTTCTTCTTTTTTGCCAATTCCATAAATCCAGATCGACATCCTGTCATGGCTTGGGCCCCATCAGTACATATGCCAATTACTTTCTACCATGGAAGTTCATTGATTACTAAAAAATCTTCAAGAGCAGAAAATATGTTAATGGCTTTAGTTGTTGTTTCAAGAGATGTTGAAAACAATATTTCCTCCAGGAACCGTTTTCTGTCAATAAATCGACAGTAAAACAATAACTGTGCATGCTTTGAAATATCAGTTGTTTCGTCACACTGCAAAGAAAAAAACTGTGCATTTTTTAATTTTTGCAAAAGATGATTTTTCAAATCTAGAGCCATGTCATCAATTCTACGTTTTACTGTGTCGTTTAAGACATACATTTT